AATATATATATATCTCTATATATATATATATATATATATATATATATATATATATATATATATATATAGTTTGAGCTATTTTTCACTATATATTTTACCATTTTCAGTCAATTTTATATGGAAAATTTTGATATTTTTATTTTTTTTCTCCAAAACATCTAATTGCTTAGATTTTTTTTTTAATTTTATGAATAAAACTTTTTATTTTTGTCATTTTGAGTTTCTTCATTTTTTTTTCTTAAATGTCTTTCGGTAGTGCAAACATCCTAAGATTACAAACATTTTTACAATCTTATGATTGTTGAGAATTTAAACTATTGAAAGACATTTCAGAAAAAAATGAAGAAATTCGAAATGACAAAAATAAAAGGTTTTATTGGGAATATAAAAAAAAAAATCTAAGTAATTAAATGTTTGGAAGAAAAAAATAAAAACATCAAAATTTCCAAGTAAAATTGACCGAAAATGTTAAAAAATATAGTGGAAAATGGCTCAAACAACCTATTATATTTATAGGCTTAGCAGTGGTATTTTTGTCATATTTTGGAAAAAATATTACAGTAGGGGGATTTTTTTTATTTATGTGTAGTATAGGGGATATATGATACAAAGTCCATAGTACATGAGTGTTTTTGTATTTAACCCTTGATTATATATAGGAAAATATTACAAGGTAATAGGGCATATTACAAATAAGCCCATCAATGGGTACTTATTCATAAAGAGGTCCAGACAAAAATCTCCTTTACCAATAAGTCCACACATGGTCCAGATTTTTGTAAATGACTAAAATAACCCCTCATACTTTAATATGCTCCAATTTCATCCTTAACTTAATTTAACTTCAATTTGACCCCAAATTTCACAAATTATTCAATTTTGACCCAAAACTTTTTTTTTTGCCGCCGGATTCCGGCGTTGACTTTTTGATTTTTTTTTCTTTCTTCCGGATTCCGGCGTTGACTTTTAAAAAAAAAAATTCTGTATTTTTTTTCCATTTAAACAGCAATATTGCTGTGATTGACAGTAATATTAACTATACTACTGTTAAACATAGTAAAATTAACTAAACTATAGTTTAACACAATAATATTGCTATATTAATCTCTAGCACATTAATATTAACACAACAAAACTCATTATTATTGTGTAAAAAAGTAATATTACAATGTCGACCGTTCAACAAATGT